CCCCTCCGCCTCGACCCCACCGGAGCAAAGCAGGTCCTGCGCGCTCCCGGGATCCTCCTCTGGCCTCAGGCAGACCCGCAGGCAATTTGGCCGCGTGCGGTCCGCGCGCACGGGCGAGCCCGAGGGCGCGTCGCCCAGGCGGGCGGGGTCTCCGAGTAACGGCCCGGGGGACGTTCTTGAGACTTCTTAGATCTGAAAGTAGGCCGGATTTTTCAGACCAGCTCAGAGAAGCCTTTGGCCATTCACAAGGGCAATCAACGCTCCAGGAACAATGATTTTTGCGCAACCAACGACGCTATGTGGAAGGCACGTTGCAAATATGCTTTTTTTTTTTTTTTTTTTTGAGACAGAGTCTCCTTTGTTGCCAGGCTAGAGTGAGTGCCGTGGCTCAGCCTCGCCCACAGCAACCTCAAACTCCTGGGCTCAAGCGATCCTCCTGCCTCAGCCTCCCGAGTAGCTGGGACTACAGGCATGCGCCACCATGCACGGCTAATTTTTTCTATATATATTAGTTGGCCAATTAATTTCTTTATATTTATAGTAAAGACAGGGTCTCGCTCTTGCTCAGGCTGGTTTTGAACTCCTGACCTTGAGCAATCCGCCCGCCTCGGCCTCCCAGAGTGCTAGGATTACAGGTGTGAGCTACCGCCCCCCCGGCCAAAATGTGCCTTTGCCTACAGACTGGACAGGAGCCCCTGTGTCCGCACTCGGTTTTGATTTTGCGCTGTTCTTTCTTTGTAGCCCACCCCTTCGGTAAATATTTGTTATATATCTCTCTTCTCCACTAAAAACATCTCTTTTAAGAACCTTTAAGAAGGATTCAATGCTAAGAAAATATGAAGGATTGTCCTAAAAGAATTTCTGGTGTTGGTTTTTTTCCGCCTTTTTTTCTACCCTGATAAAGCTAAGAAAAACCTGGTTGTGATGCTGGGTTTTAAATCACATTTTGGTTTTTAAAAACTACAATTAATTGCCTTTGGGACTTAGATTCATAATATTTTTATTTTTTTATTTTTTTTTTTTTGAGACAGAGTCTCGCTTTGTTGCTCAGGCTAGAGTGAGTGTCATAATATTTTTAAACTGAAATATTCTCTCCCTGACCCTCTACAAATCCAAATTTAGACTAAATGATAAAATTCCAACATTTCAGAGAAAGTGAAAGTCACCAAGTTACCCCAGTCCCTGGAGTCACTGTCAAACTTTGGTGAGAAATGATCCAGGTTTTCTCTTACTTAAAATATATATTATGTAAGTGGTATTAGTGGCATCATAATTCAGTATGTTCTTAACATTTTTAAAAAGTTAGGCCTTCTAAAAAAGTTAGGTCTCTCATGCCTGTAATCCTAGCACTCTGAGCCTGAGGCTGGAGGATCCCTTGAGGTCAGGGTTCAAGACCAGACTGAGGGGCCAAGCGCGGTGGCTCATGCCTGTAATCCTAGCACTCTGGGAGGCCGAGGCGGGTGGATTGCTAGAGGTCAGGAGTTCGAGACCAGCCTGAGCAAGAGTGAGACCCCCGTCTCTACCATAAATAGAAAGAAATGAATTGGCCAACTAATATATATATCCAGAAAAAAAAATTAGCTGGGCATGGTGGTGCATGCCTGTAGTCCCAGCTACTCGGGAGGCTGAGGCAGGAGGATTGCTTGAGCCCAGGAGTTTGAGGTTGCTGTGAGCTAGGCGGACACCACGGCACTCACTCTAGCCTGGACAACAAAGCGAGACTCTGTCTCAAAAAAAAAAAAAAAAAAAGTTAAAAGTGTGCTGGGCACACTTCTTTTCATAGCAATACATTGAACTTGGCCTCACACCTTTTAGCACTGCATAGAATTTGATGGCACCACTGTTCTCTGGGGGAACAATGGAAATGTTCTGTCTCTACATTGTGGCAGTGGGGACATGGCTGTGTACAACTGCTAAAACTCCACGACTGTGCATTTCTTTCTTTCTTTTTCTTTTTTTCTGAGACAGAGTCTCACTCTGTTGCCCGGGCGAGAGTGCCGTGGCATCAGCCTAGCTCACAGCAACAGCAACCTCAAACTCCTGGGCTCAAGCGATCCTCCTGTCTCAGCCTCCCGAGTAGCTGGGACTACAGGCATGCACCACCATGCCCGGCTAATTTTTTCTATATATTTTTAGTTGTCCAGCCGATTTATTTCTATTTTTAGTAGAGAGGGGGTCTCACTCTTGCTCAGGCTGGTCTGGAACTCTGAGCTCAAAGGACCCGCTTGCCTCAGCCTCCCAGAGTGTTAGGATTACAAGTGTGAATCACCTCGCCCAGCCATGCATTTCAAATAGATGCACTTTATTGTATTCGTGCTATGCCCCAATAAGATAGTTTAAAAAATATTATCAGCCCAGGGCAGTAGCTCACTCCTGTAATCCTAGCACTCTGGGAGGCCGAGGTGGGTGGATCACTGAAGGTCAGGAGTTCAAAACCAGCCTGAGCAAGTGCAAGACCCTGTCTCTACTAAAAATAGAAAGAAATTAATTGGCCAACTAAAAATATATGGAAAAAAATTAGCCAGGCATGGTGGCGCATGCCCATAGTCCCAGCTACTCAGGAGGCTGAGGCAGAAGGATTGCTTGAGCTCAGGAGTTTGAGGTTGCTGTGAGCTAGGCTGATGCCATGGCACTCACTCTAGTCTGGGCAATGAAGTGAGACTCTGTCTTAAAAAAAACAAAAAAAAACAAACAAACCACAGAATCAAGAATGAAACTAGATAAAAGGTCAAAATAAAGTTAGACATAATAAAAATACATCTTTTAAAATTTATTTTCCCCTTTACCTATTTCCTCCCCTTTTAACTCTCTCTTCCCTCCCTCCTTCCACATGTTCCCATCCTTTTGTCCTCTCTCCACTCTCTGTATTACCCCTGTGTATCCCAGTCAACACTGGGGACAGGGCAGGGAAAGAGAGAGGTGAGGCTTGTCGTGCTTGTCATGGCATTTTGTTTTTTGTTGTATTATTTTTTTTAGAGACAGGGTCTGGCTCACTGAGACTGGGGTACAGGGGCATGATATGACCAGAGCTCACTGCAACCTCCAACTTCTGGGCTCGAGGGCTTCTCCCGTCTCAGCTCCCGCCAGGGAACGGCAAGGCCTGCTGCCGCTGTTCTGGTACCATTCAGTGACAGTCACTCCAGTCATTGACAGAGGCCACACTCAGGGTAAATTAGGATCTTTACTGACGGGGCGGAGCCCTCGGTGGGTTCTTGACTCCTTGTTGTTGCTGTTCCCAGTCGGCTGAGCCCATTTCAACCAGAACCGCTAGGAGACGACACTTTCCTCCCAGGGGACCCGCAGCAGTAGGAACAGTTCTCGGATCCTAGAAGCCCTGGGCGCTGTCGGGGAGGCTGAGGCAGCATTTCCCTGCTCCCCAGCTCAGAATCCAAGGGTGCTGTTTCAAGTAGTTCGGATTCCTATCCCGCTCCAGACCCCCGGACTCGAAACCCGCAGCCCGGCCCGGGGCCCGCATTTTCGCAGGCGGCAGGTGCAGCTGCCCAGCAGCTGGAGGCCCGTGACCTCCGCGCAGCTCGCCCTGCTCCCTGGCCCGTAAGTGCCGCTATTCCGATTTTTGTATCCATAAACAGCCCTTATTTTCCATAGGCTCTGGCGGGGGTCGAGCGATCTTCAGTCCTCGCAGTGGACTCCGGGCCGGCCGCAGACCTGAGGTCGCCGGGCGCAGCCGAGCCCAGCCCCGCCCTGGGTTGCGGAGGGACCGCCGGAAGCTTCTTTCCTTTCCGGACGCAGCAGTTACGCCCGAGGTCTGCGGAGGGACAACCGCGGCTATGCTCGCGAGTCCAGGGGTCCAGAGGCAGAGCGGAGGGAGAAAAGTAGTTTATGGGGCGGAGCAGAGGCGGCTGAAGGAGGTGAGTGGAGAGAAAGGGCTTTGTCCAGAAGATGACCTGGGAGGCTTGGTGGGTGAGGGGCAGCCAGGCCTCCATCCTGAGGAGTGACTCACACCCCATCCCAAGGCCACCACGGCCTCCCCTACCCCCAGAAGGAGGAGCGGGGTATGGGCTTCACCTCTGGCCACAATGCCTCTAAATGTCTTGCATATATCATCATCATCATCATCGAAGTATTAAAAATCTTTTGGGGAGGGGGGCTGAGCAGACACTTTGCTGGAGCTGGCACGCTGAGGAAGCCCTGGGAGGAGGGTAGACACTGTGGAGGAATGGGCTGGGGACCACCTGTCAGGGAGGCTGCATCCATGTCCCTCTGTGCCCCTCACTACCCTTGTGACCACCAGGCCTGGCTAAAATTTTTTTTTTAGAGATAGGGTCTCACTATGTTGCCCAGGCTGGTCTCCAACTCCTGGGCTCAAGGGATCCTCTCACCTCAGCCTTCCAAAGTGTTGGGATTACAGGTGTGAGCCACGGTGTCCGGCCTCTGTTTTTGTTTTTTGAGACAGAGCTCACTCTCTTGCCTGGGCTAGAGTGCTGTGGCATTAGCCTGGCTCACAGCAACCTCAAACTCCTGGGCTCAGGAAATCCTCCTGCCCCAGCCTCCCGAGTAGCTGGAACTACAGCTGTGCCAGGCTAATTTTTTCCATTTTTAGTTGTTCGGCTAATTTCTTTCTATTAATAGTAGAGACTGGCTCTCATTCTTGCTCAGACTGGTCTTGAACTCCTGAGCTCAAGCCATCCTCCCATCTTGGCCTCCCAGAGTGCTAGGATTACAGGCGTGAGCCACCACGCCTGGCCTGTTTTTTCTTTTTCTTCTCCTCCTCCTCCTCCTCCTTCTTCTTTTCTTTTCAGTCTAGTCAAGTGAGGAAGTGGGAGTGGAGAAAGAACAAAGAAACCTGTAAGTGGTTGTGATCAATCAGCTGTAAACAGCACTGCACTCCGACCACGCAACTGCGAAGAGGGCGGCACGCGGTGCGGTCTGACAGGTTGGAAGGCAGAGGCGACAGCAGTCCGGAGGAGGGGGACTGCTGCAGCAGTGGCGTGGGGGCGGGGGACAGTGAGGAGATCTGGAGGCCACGTTTACAGCCACCCTGGGGAGATGTCACCAGAGAAATGGAGGCGATGCCAGACAGCAGGTGGAGCAGCTGTGGGATTCCACGGCAGAGTAGAAGCGTCATGTGTGAAATTGCCCGAGTGGGGCGCTGTGGGTGGCTTGGAGCACTCTGGCTAGACTGGGGCGGGCACAGCGTTTGGGAGGCTGTGTGGGATTCCAGGCTGAAGGCAGAGGAGAGCCTGGACTAACGGAGAGGCTGTGGGATCCAAAAAGTGTTGAAGGAGCTGACTTGAGTCCTAGAGCAGGGGACAGGGGACATCAGAAGGGACCAAGGAGGGTGATGCTGTTAAGAGATATGGCTACAGGAAAGGAGACATGGCTTCAGTCAAAGGGAGGAGAAGGAGGAGATTAAAATGCTGAAACATCTGAGTTCGGTGTCTGAGCGGTTGAACTCGGGCAGGTGCCTCTGAGAGGCAGAGGTGGCTGAAATCTGCAAATGGGTCCGCAAATGTGGTCACTGGTCGCACTGCCAGTAACTCTGTGCGCGGTCGATGGGAGTGTGATGGGGGAACAACCCAGCGCTCTCTCGTCCCTTAGTCTGTCCCCGAAGGAACGAGCGAGTGAGCGCGTGGGATGGCTGGCCGGCTGCAGGAGTTGGCGAGACCCGCGCTACTCGGGTGGGCGCGCGGGGGTGGGGTGTTCGCCGATGCGGGGCGGGGGCAGGGCCCTGGCCGCGCGCAGGAGGGTGGAGCTGTCCCCTCGGCTGCTCTGAGCGGGTCCCTGCACTGGGCAGCGCCCACCCGCTCCAGCTTTCCCGGGCGCAAGTCCGGCGGGAAAAGCTTCCCGCGTCTCACGGCCGCTAGAACGGTCCCTGCACGTGTAGCCCCGCCCCCTCTGCTCGCGATTGGCCCGAGCTTCCAGGCGTCCGTGCTCATTGGGCGAGCGGCGCTGGGCGGGGCCCGGGCGAGCCGCCGACCGCGGCGGAGGTGGGTCCGGGGTGGCCGTGCGCTGCCGCTCCCGCCCGCGCCGCCTTCCGGCTCCCCGGGGCCGCTGCTGGTGAGCGGGAGCCGCGGGCGTGTCCTGGGGTCCGGGTGGGTGTCGGCGAGTGTCGCACGGCCCTGGCGGGGCTGGGGCGGTGGCGGAGGCGGAGGGAGGAGCTGGATGCGGCCGGGTGCCGCCACACCCCACCCCGCGTTTGCAACCTCTCCCGTCCTCTTGGGGATCGCGCGTCCTCCCCCGACCTCACCCCAGCCGAATTTTCTGGTCTCCTCGCCGCACCCTCCTGCCTCCCTCTTCCTTTTCGGACTTTCTCAGCCTTTCTGAGCTCGCGGGCTGCCTCGGGGTTGCACCTTTGGATGGCGTCTAGGGCCCTTCCAGGTCTGTCCCTCAGGCAGCGTCCCCAGTGTGGGGGGACAGCTCTCAGGTCCCCGAAGCCCTGTCTCCTCCCGGGAGTCAGCATGTTCCCAGCCCCTGGGCCACAGTGCCTGGAGTTAGGGGCACTTCCGACTGCTGTGTGGGGGCTGTGGCTGCGCCTGACTCCCACGCGTAGGGGGTTAGAGCGGGAAGCCTTTGGGAAGAAGGGTTCTTCCTGTGACTCCTCTCAGCCCCATCCTCACTCTCCCCACTCCAACTCCCTGGAGGTCCCCTCCTCCCTTGCACCCCCCCCCCACTATTACGCCTACTGGTCTAATCACACCAGATTCTCTCCCACCTCCTCCCCTGCCCATCTTACCCCATCAGTCCTGTTCCCTCCTCCTCCCTGCTCTCCCTTCCTGGCTACAGTTCTCTGATCCATTTCTAGGGTGTCCTCTGCTCTCCCTTCACCCCCCTCCTTCCCTATGGGCCTTTCCTGCAAGGACCCTTCACCCACTGCTGCCCCTATGCCACTACCACCACCCCCCACCCCCCGACTGTCCCTGACCCTGGCTTTCTGGTGGTCTAGGGTCTTCCCTCCATCCCACTCCCCTCCAGCCCTCACAGGGGGATTCTGGGTGAGGATGACACTGAGGCCTTAGGCAGGGCACAGGGCAGTGCAGCCCCCACCCTCACAGTGCAGGTACCTGCTCTGTGCCCAGCCTTGCCCTGGCCCCTGCCCTCTCCTCCATCCTGGGCCTCACCCTCCTGAGCCCCCACCCTCCAGCCCACAGGTGCTGCACTGCCTCTCCCTGGTCCCTCTGCACCTCTCCACCCAGGGACCCGGAACTGCTCCCCACCTTGCCCTCCTGCCTGGGACCCTCACCAAGTCCTCACCTTTCACAGCCCCCCACCCACCCTCACCCAGAGCCCCCTCCTCTCCTGACCCATGTTCTCCCAGGTCACCCCTGCTCACCCCAACCCCAGTCCTTACCCTGCCCCTCTCCCCTCCCCCACCTGGACCTGAAATAGATTCTTGGTCCACCTGCTCCTTGACCTTCACCCTTCTCTCTTGGTTCCTTGACCCCAGAGGACTCTCACTCCCTACCATGTCTCCAAAATCTTAGCTTTGCCGGGAGGTCGGCTGTGGTCTTCCCCTCCTGTGGGCCTCATCCCAGCACTGCCTTCCTCCTGTGACAGTCTCCTGACCCTGACCCTCTTTTGAGGAGTGGCTGCTCCCTCCAGCTCTGCTCCCCTTCACTCCTTCCTCAGGCCATGGATCTCCCTGGCTGCCTTGGTTTTCTCTCCTCCGGCTGGCACCCCACCCTTTCTAATTCTGTATTATTCTAGGGTGGTCTGTGCCAGTTCCTTTTTTGTTGTTTAATTGTACGACATACATTTGTTGTAAATGTACGACATACATGACGTACATTTTACTGTTTTAACCATTTTCAGTGTACAGTTTGGTGGCATTAAATACATTCAGGTTTTTGTGCAACCTGAACCTCTGTACCCACCAAACAGCACCTCCCACTCCTCCCTCCTCTGGCCCCTGGTGACCCCATTCTGCTTTTTTGTCTCTAAATTTGACCATTCTAGGTGCCTTGTATAGGTGGAATCATATAATGTTTGTCTTTTTGTTCCTAGTATATTTCACTTATAATGTTTTCAAGGTTCATCCATGTTGTAGCACGTGTCAGAATTTCATTCCTTTTAATGCTGAATAATATTCATTGTACCTACACACTGTTATTGATCACTCATTCACCAGTCTATGATAGACACTTGGGTGACTTCCACCTTTTGGTGCTGTGAACATGGGTGTGCAAATACCTCTTCACGTTCCTGCTTCATTTCTTTTCAGTATATGCCCAGATGTAGCATTGCTGGGTCATGTGGTAATTCACTTTTTAGTTTTTGCAGGAACCACCATACTGTTTCTATAGCAGGTGAGCCATTTTATATTTCCGAAAGCAGTACCCGAGGGTTCCAGGTTCTCTACCTCCTTGCACAACTTACTATTTTTGTGTGCATGTGTGTATGTGTTTGGTAATAGCCATCCTAAGGGTGTGAAGTGGTGTCTCCTCATGGTGTTGCTGTGCATGTCCCTGTGGCTACTGATGCTGAGCACCCTTTTGTGTTTATTGGCCATTTGTGTCTCTGCTTTGGAGAATGGGCGATTCAAGACCTTTGCCCATTTTTGAAGGAGTAAAATGTTTTGTTGTTTCTGAGTTGTAGGAGTTGTTTATATATGCTAAATATTAACTACTTATCAGATAAATGATTTGCAAACATTTTCTTCTATTGGGGGGTTGCTTTTTCATTGCCTTGGTTGTGTCCTTTGATGCACAGATGTTTTTAATTTTGACAAGTCCAATTTATCATTCATTTATTTATTGTCTGTGCTTTGGTCTCATATCCATGAATGTGTTGCCAAATCCTGTGTCATGAAGATTGTCCCCAGTGCTTTCTTCTAAGAATGGTTTAGTTTTAGGTCTTTGCTTCATTTTTAATTAATTTTTGTATGTGGGTTAAGGATCTAACTTCATTTTTTTTGCATGTGAACATCCAGTTTTCCTAGCAGCGTTTGCTGAAAGGATGCACCAACTCTCTGAGACCCTGCCACCTGCCCACTGCACAGGGCACTAGCAGGTCCACCCACCTGCCCACCTGGGGCTTTGCCAGGCCTCTCTTCCACTTTGGACCCAAGCCCACACCGTTGCTCCACCCTGGGATGCTGACCCCACTCTAAGCTTCTTGGGAGCCACAACCTTCCTGCCCCTCCAGCCTCAGGACCGCGCCCTCCCTTCCCCCCGTCGGACATGAGCCATCCCCAGAGGTGGCAGCCCCAACCCTTCATCTCCCCAAGCCTGCCTATGCAGCATAGCCACTCAGGCCATTGGTCCCTCTGAGCCCGGGTCCCTGCAAGTCCCCTCCTCCCTTCTGGCAAGACCTTCCTCCCACCACTGGCTTCCTGCCCCTCCCAGCCCCCTTTAGGGCAGCCTGTCCCCTGACCTCCTGCATGTCCTCAGGCAGCCTGTGGCCACCCCACCCTGGCAGCTGGTCTATGCGTTTGCTGTCCCCATCCTCCATCTTCCCTTCCTCAGTCCCCTTCTCCATCCTCCCACCTTTCCAGTTTTCCTTGCACTGAAATCCTCGTCCCTGTCCCTTTGCCCATGTGCGTTTCCTGCATCCTCTGGAAGGTTGGGGCGGCAGAACCTGTCTGATACGCACGACGCGAAGTGATTTCCAGGAAGAAGTTTCATCTGCAGTTTCCTCTTCCCCAGGACCCACACTCTTCGTCACAACGTCACAGTGGTGTCCCAGGACGGATATGTGCCACCAGGGTTTCTCACCGAGAGACATCTGGATGGTCGGCTCTTCCTGCTCTGTGACAGGCAGAAAGGCAGGGCAGGACCCTGGGGGGAGGGGGCAGAGGCAGTCCTGGGAGATGACACCTGGGACACAGAGACCCAGGATTTGCAGGGAACAGATAGGGCCTCAGGATGACCCTGGCACATGTCAAGGGCCAGAAAGGAGCTGAGTGTGGGAGGGGGCAGGAGTGGGGCCGTTTCCAGGAAAGTAGGGACAGAGAGCAGGGACCTGTCCCTTCCTACTGGATCTGGCTGGGGTGGGGGTGAGGACAGGGTCAGTGCAGCTCAGCACAGAGGGAGCCGGTCCTCAGCCAGCACAGGGGACAGGAAGAGGGCCAGGGAGGGTCCCCTCTGGGCCAAATTTCTCCCTGGGGCGGGAAGGCGAATGGAGGTGTCACTGCTGGTGGGTGGGTCAGCCTGGCATTCGCTGCAGGGGATAAGGGAATGTGACATCCACGAAGACGTCAGCACCAGCAGCTTCAGGCTTCTACTACGGTGGGCAGCGTGTCCGCTTCCAGAACCTGAGGGCTCAGGCATGGGCGGTACCCCAGTCCTCAAGGGCTCAGACCTTGGCTATGAAAATCCAGAAGGTCTAGGATGGAGATGCCACACAAGCCACGACGCACTCTGGCCCATGCTGGCAGACAGTGTGCAGACACTAGGGTGACATCTGGCAGCCCAGGGGATTCAGGAGAGCAGGTGCTGACACTGGGCAGGGGCTCCTCCCCCCAGGCCTGCTGGAGTCGCCCCCAGCTCTGTGCAAGGACCATCTCTGTACTGCAGCTGCACGTCCTGTTGGCATATTGCATTCTGATCTCCTCTTCTGTTGGGCCACTGGCTAAAGAAGGTGGGTTGGGGACTAAAGTGTCTGCTGTTGTCGTGATCTGGGAAGGCAGTGGCTCCCCTCCCAGACACCCACACCTGGGAGCTGGTGTTAGGCAGGAGAGGAGGCCCTCAGAGCCAAGGGCTGCCCCATCTGCTTCCCAGCCTGCCTGGCATGGAGAGCCCCTCCTGGCCCACACCACAGGAACGCACCCCTGACACCCCCTCCCCAGCAACAGCATGGGGGCTGAGGGCGTGAGGCCACCATCCCGAGGCCCATCCTCCTGCCAGTCCCCAGGGCTTGGGCCCCAGAGTGAGGACAGACTTGCAGAAGGCCTGGGTCAGCAAGGGCTTCAGCCAGGGTTGGAACTATGAGGGGACCTGCCCTGCTCCCTGGGTGTCCCTTGGAGTGGAGCAGGGCTTGGACCCAGGCCTCACCGGCTCTTCCCTGCCTTCCCCAGTGACCCCTGTGGTGGATGTCACCTGCAGCCAGCAGGCCTTCAAGGGCGACTTCATCCTGATGTGCTGGGCTTCCAGCTTCTATCCCTGGAATATCTGCCTGGCCTGGCATCAGGTCGGGGCACCTTTGAGCCTGGATGCCCAGCAGTCTGGGGGAGTCCTACGCTATGGGAATGGGACCTACCAGAGCTGGGTGGCCACAAGGGTCCCCAAGGAGAGGAGCAGAGGTTCCCCTGCTATGTGGGACACATTGGGAATGACAGCACTCATGCTGTGCTCTCTGGGGAGCCTGGGGTGACGCTGCAGGGCTGTGACCTGGGAGGGCTGGGCCAGGCGGGGGGCAGAGGAGGCTGTGGCTCTGGGTGTCCAGCATGTGGGGAGTCTCTTTTCTCAGGGAAGGCCCTGGTGTTCGTCGTCGATGACCAGCCCTTCTGTGTGCTGCTGCTGCTGTCATCGTTCTATTCTCTGTGTCCTTTGGTACAAGAGAATGCCAACATTAGCTGCAGGGGGTCCAGGTGAGAAAGGGAGCAGGGGCTGGAGATGGGAGGGCCCCTCCTACCTCCTGCTGAACAGACCCGAGTGTAGGTGACAACCCTTCTGGAGCAGGGAGTGGCAGTCGGGGAATGTGGGAGGGGAATGGGAGCCACGCTCCGTCTACACCCTTAGTCCTCCCCAAGCCAGGGCCAGGGCCCTGAACGTGCAGCTGTGGCCTCCGCTGGCTGCAGGGTGAGGAGAGGGCAGCAGAGGGAGCCCTGGCTCTCTGTCTCTCTGGGTCACCAGGGGGTGTGCTGGGCTTTGTGTGCCCATGGTGAGGGCCTCAGAGGGGACAAGTAGTGCCAACATCTGTGACCTTGGGAGAGTTAGAGCCTGTAGCAGAGGCTGAGGTGACAGCTCTAGGCCCTTCCCGTCTACACCCCTCACCCCAGTTTCTCCAGCCGTCACAAGGACACCAAGGAAAAGACCCCAGAAGCCCAGACCGGGGGTTGCTGCCTGTGCAGCCCTCTGGGAGACCCCTGGTGACCGAGGGGTCTGAGCACACACGGGCATCCTCCATACACTTTGCAGCTACTCTTGTGGCTCCTCAGGGACTGTCTTGGGAGGGTGGCATCTTCTGGGTCCCTTGAGCCTGAGCTCTTTGCAGGTTCCCAGCACACAGCGCCTCCTCCTCGAGTTCCCTGCTGATAACACGGAACAGGAGGGAAGCAGGTGGCCTCGGAGCGTGTGGGGACAGGGACCGGCCATGTCGGGGCAGCTGTGGTCACTGTTTATCCCACATCTGGGTTCCCCTTGTCCAGCCCCTGAGGGACACAGTCCCCAGGGGCTGCATTTGTTGGGGCATTTGGTCTGTGCTCTGTGTCCTCCCCTCCCCACCCCAAGCCAATTCCCCTTTCTCCAGGTGGTCCTTCCCCGGGGTTGCCTGAGGGGAGAGGAGAGAAACGGGAATTTGTGTCTCTGGGACGGCAGGGGTGGTGAGGGGGGTGCCCAGGACACTCAGGTCTTTCTGTCATTTCCCATCTCTCAGGGGGTGGCAGTGGGGGTGGGGTTTCTCATCCGGGAACCTGATTTCACTGTCCCTTGACCCCTCAGGCCTGGGCAGATGGGCAGACGGTTGGTTTCCTGCCCCGCAGCGAGGGCCCGTCCAGGTGGCACCCACAGCAGGGACAGTGCAGGTCTGTTCTCGCTCCTGCCCTTCCCTGCGGCGTCTCCCTGAGAGGGGCCTGGGTCCGGTTCCCTGGGCAGGACCCTCGCCTGGTGGGTCCCTGGGTCCGGTTCCCTGGGCAGGACCCTGGCCTGGTGGGTCCCTGGGTCCGGTTCCCTGGGCAGGACCCTCGCCTGGTGGGTCCCTGGGGCCGGGAAGCAGCTGTGAACGGCCGCGTCCATTTCTCACAATTCCGGCTGTAAATGCTGATGTCCAGCGACAACGCCTGTAACTTCCACTGGAAAATCTTCTCGGGTTCCTGCAGTGCTGAGGGGTGAAGCGTATTAAACGAAACAGGCACTCGGATGTGGAGCCACAGGGGCAGGAGGGTTGAGTGGGATGTGGCAGTGGAGTCCGGGCTGCAGAGGGCGGGCAGAGGCAGCCTCGGGGTCTCAGGAGACCCCACTGCACAGGGAGAAGCAGATACCCGGGGCCTCGAGGGCAGAGGCCGGGTGGAGCCCGCTAGGAGCAGAGCAGGGAGACCGGGCAGCCTCCGCCGAGCAGCAGCCCTGGGTGCATCGGCGTTTCCCAGGTGGGTGGACCGGGCAGGAGCAAGGACAGCCCCAGTGCGGGTCTCCAGCCTGCGCCGGGTGGAGGGTCAGGGAAAGCCAGGCTTCCTGGATGACAGGGGACCCCAGGGGCGCGTCAGGTGCAGACCTGGTGGCAGCTGTGTGTTTCGATGCGTGTCCCGGGCTTCCTGTTGGGCAAGCCCGTGGGCTGCAAGTGGAGGGCGGAGCCGCGGTGTGCAGGACCCCGGTGTGCGATGACTCCGCAGGTGAGGGGTCTGGGACCAGGAGGGTAAGGACTGTGGATGTGAACCCCCAGGCCTTGCGGAGGAGGCCTCAAAGTGTGTGGGGAGGGCACTGGGTTCCTCCCAGGTCTTGTCCTTCAGTGCTGTGGCCCTTTCTCTCCCCGTGGTGGGTGCAGGGCAGGTGCCCGTGTTGCTGCAGTTGTGGGAGGAGGCTGGTGGGGCTGGGAAAAGCAGGGCAGCATGGGGAAAAAGTGGGGGCAGCACACTCCCTTGGAGGAAGGCTGAATCTGATTTTGAAGCAACTGAGGGGGAGAAGTCCTGAGGGAAAGATAGGCCACACTTTGCCACCACCGGAACAGTTACTAGTTTCTCTCCTCTCCCCAGAGCTCCTGAGCCTACAAGTATTCGCGACGAGTCTTCTCACATTGCTGGTTCAAACTCCTGGACTCAAGCATCCTCCCACCTCAGCCTCTCAGAACGCTGGGATTACAGGCACAAGCCACCACATGCACTCATTCCTCACGATTTCTGATGACAAACTGGAGAGGTCCCAGAGCATATAGACCTTGATTGAATCAGGGGCAGAATGAAGTCAGGAGAAACCTGGTTTTGGAGCCACGTAAGTGTAAAGTAAGGTCTCAACTCGGAGCCCCATCAGAGCATCAGACTCAGTACTAATTCCTTCCAGCCGCTACTGTGTTTGTCCTGCGATAACTGGTGTTTGCAGGAAGGAGAAGTAGTTACGTGTGCAGAAAAGTGCATGAAATTAGAAAACGTGGACATGATTCAGGGAGTGAGAGGGACCCTTGTCTCTTCCAAGGTAGCGGTGGGGCTCTCTGTCCCTTGTCCTGATCCATCAAGTGCAGAAGAGAAACTTCCTGCTCTGAGTGAAGTGACCAACAGCGGAAGTTGGAATGAAGAGAATCAGGGGCAGCCTCTCTCCCCCCCCAGCCCAGCAAACCTAAGGCAAGGGCTTGGGCTCTGACACTTGGTTCTCAACATGTGTTTTCCTTCTCTGGTTAAGAAAAGAACCACATATAAGAGGAACCAAGGGCTGCAGCTATTGTGGTACCCAGAGAACTGGGCCAGGGACCAATGGTGCCATGTGCTTGTCACTGCTCCACCACTAAGTTGCTGTGACCTCAAGACTCTCTGCCCCTGGAGCCTTTTTGTTGTTGTTGAGTCAGAGTCTCACTCTGTTGCCTGAGCTAGAGTGCCCTGGCGTCAGCCTAGCTCACAGCAACCTCAGAAGATGGTGGAGCCCGCTAGGAGCAGAGCAGGGAGACCGGGCAGCCTCCGCCGAGCAGCAGCCCTGGGTGCATCGCGTTTCCCAGGTGGGTGGACCGGGCAGGAGCAAGGACAGCCCCAGTGCGGGTCTCCAGCCTGCGCCGGTGGAGGTCAGGGAAAGCCAGGCTTCCTGGATGACAGGGGACCCCAGGGCGCGTCAGGTGCAGACCTGGTGGCAGCTGTGTGTTTCGATGCGTGTCCCGGGCTTCCTGTTGGGCAAGCCCGTGGGCTGCAAGTGGAGGGCGGAGCGGGTGCAGGACCCCGGTGTGCGATGACTCCGCAGGTGAGGGTCTGGGACCAGGAGGTAAGGACTGTGGATGTGAACCCCCAGGCCTTGCGGAGGAGGCCTCAAAGTGTGTGGGGAGGGCACTGGGTTCCTCCCAGGTCTTGTCCTTCAGTGCTGTGGCCCTTCTCTCCCCGTGGTGGGTGCAGGGCAGGTGCCCGTGTTGCTGCAGTTGTGGAGGAGGCTGGTGGGCTGGGAAAAGCAGGGCAGCATGGGGAAAAAGTGGGGCAGCACACTCCTTGGAGGAAGGCTGAATCTGATTTTGAAGCAACGGAGGGGGAGAAGTCCTGAGGGAAAGATAGGCCACACTTTGCCACCACCGGAACAGTTACTAGTTTCTCTCCTCTCCCAGAGCTCCTGAGCCTACAAGTATTCGCAGCGAGTCTTCACATTGCTGGTTCAAACTCCTGGACTCAAGCATCCTCCCACCTCAGCCTCTCAGAACGCTGGGATACAGGCACAACCACCACATGCACTCATTCCTCACGATTTCTGATGACAAACTGGAGAGGTCCAGAGCATATAGACCTTGATTGAATCAGGGCAGAATGAAGTCAGGAGAAACCTGGTTTTTGGAGCCACGTAAGTGTAAAGTAAGGCTCAACTCGGAGCCCATCAGAGCATCAGACTCAGTACTAATTCCTTCCAGCCGCTACTGTTTTTGTCCTGCGATAACTGGTGTTTGCAGGAAGAGAAGTAGTTACGTGTGCAGAAAAGTGCATGAAATTAGAAAACGTGGACATGATTCAGGGAGTGAGAGGGACCCTTGTCTCTTCCAAGGTAGCGGTGGGCTCTCTGTCCTTGTCCTGATCCATCAAGTGCAGAAGAGAAACTTCCTGCTCTGAGTGAAGTGACCAACAGCGGAAGTTGGAATGAAGAGAATCAGGGGCAGCCTCTCCCCCCCCAGCCCAGCAAAACTAAGGCAAGGCTTGGGCTCTGACACTTGGTTCTCAACATGTGTTTTCCTTCTCTGGTTAAGAAAAGAACCACATATAAGAGGAACCAAGGGCTGCAGCTATTGTGGTACCCAGAGAACTGGGCCAGGGACCAATGGTGCCATGTGCTTGTCACTGCTCCACCACTAAGTCTCGTGACCTCAGAAGACCTCTGCCCCTGGAGCCTTTTTGTTGTTGTTGAGTCAGAGTCTCACTCTGTTGCCTGAGCTAGAGTGCCCTGGCGTCAGCCTAGCTCACAGCAACCTCAGACTCCTGGGCTCAAGCGATCCTCTTGCCTCAGCCTCCCGAGTAGCTGGGACTACAGGCATGCGCCACCATGCCCGGCTAATTTTTTCTGTATATTTTTAGTTGGCCAATTAATTTCTTTCTATTTTTAGTAGAGACAGAGTCTCACTCTTGCTCAGGCTGATTTCGAACCCCTGACCTTGAGCAATCCACCCACCTCGGCCTCCCAGAGTGCTAGGATTACAGGTGTGAGCCACCACGCCCGGCCACATTAACTGTGCCTGGTTCCTTCCCTTGAGTCTGGCCATGTAAAACTCCCAGGCCACTGTCTCTGCTAGAGAGCAAGCATGAGGAGGGACCCCAGAGGTGCAGAGGAGAGAGGAAGCCTTGGACACCCAGAGACAGCTGACCCTCAGGTGACTCCAGCCCCAGCTACTACTTGACTGCCACCACGTGAGAACCTGCAGGAAAATCCCCATCTGTAGGGAAATCCACCCAGCTGTGACCTGACTGCACACCCACATGAGAACCTGCAGGTAAATCCACCCATCTGTAGGGAAATCCACCCAGCTGTGACCTGACTGCCACCACGTGAGAACCTGCAGGTAAATCCACCCAGTCAGCCCATAGAACTGTAAGAGATAAGAAAAAATTCTTAGTTCTCTATGAACCATGAACATCCTTTTCCATCTTCCCTTCAGCCTGTGTATGTCCTTAGGTACAACTTGAATCTCTTGCAGCCAGCATAGAGTTGAATGTTTTCCTTTTTTCTATCCACCTGTGACAATCTCTGACTTCTGATTGTGGAGTTAATAGCTGTTCATTTCAGGTACTTACTGACAGGGAAGGACTTACTTCTGTGATTTGGTGTTCGTGTCTTCATGTCTCATAGCGTTTTGTTTCATCTCCACATTACTGCCTTCAGTTATGTTCTGCTGATTTTTCCTAGTGGCAATTTTCATTTCCTTCTCCTTCCCTTTTGGGTATATTCCATGGATATTTTCATTGTGGTTACTCTGGTAAACATATGACAATATGGTTATGACAATCCATGTTGAATTTTCAACTTAACTTCAATTGCACATGAAACTCTGCTTCTTACAGCTCTGCCACTCCCTTCATGTGATCCACATAAACATCACACCCTTATACATTGTATGCCTATTAACACAGATTTGTAACTATTTTCTGTACATTTGTTTTTTAAATAATATAGGATATAAACCAGTGGAATCCTGCTCTCAGATTCTCTCTTGTCTTTGGCTTTAATAGTTTTTTTATTTTAGTGTATTATGGGGTACAAGTGTTAAGGTTACATATATTGCTCATGCCCCCTCCCCCCTCGAGTAAGAGCTTCAAACGTGTCCATCCCCAAACGTTGTACATCTTATTCATTGTGGTTGTATACACCCATCCCCTCCTCCCACTTCCCACCTCCCGACACCAATAAATGTTACTCCTATATGTCCACTTAGGGTTGATCCGTTAATACCAATTTGCTGGTGAGTACATGGTGCGGTTTTTTCCATTCTTGAGATATTTCACTTAGTAAATGGGTTCCAGCTCTATCCAGGAATAATACAAGAGGTGCTATATCACCATTGTTTCTTAAAGTTGAGTAGTATTCATGGTGTACATATACCACATTTTATTAATTCACTAATGAATTGATGGGCACTTGGTTGTTTCCACAGCTTGCAATGTGAAATGTGCTGCTATAAACATTCGAAGTGCATGTATCTTTTTCATAAAGTGCCTTTTGATCTTTTGGGTAGATGCCAGCAGTGGAATGCTGGATCAAATGGTAGATCTACTTGTATCGCTTTGAGTATCTTCTATTGCTTTCCACAGAGGTTGAACTAGTTTGCAGTCCCACCAGCAGTGTAGGAGTTTCCTCTCTCTCCGCATCCACGCCAGCATTTGTTGTTTGGGGACTTTTTGATAAAGGCCATTCTCACTGGAGTTAAGTGATATCTCATTGTGGTTTTGATTTGCATTTCTCTGATAATTAGAGATGTTGAACATTTTTTCATATGTTTGTTGGCCATTGTTCTGTCTTCTTTTGAGAAGTTTCTGTTCATGTCGTTTCTCATTTTTGATAGGGTTGTTGATTTTTCTTGCGATTTCCTGAGTTCTAAATAAATTCTAGTATCAACCCTTTATCAGATGTGTAGCTTGCAAAAATTTTCTCCCATTCTGTGGGTTGTCTGTTTGCTCTCTTGACAGTTTCTTTGGCTGCGAAGAAGCTTTAATTTGATCAGTCCCATTTGTTTATTTTTGTTGCTGTTGTGATTGTCTTTGGGTCTTCTCATAAATTCTTTGCTAGACCAATGTCTAGAAGGGTATTTCCAACATTTTCCACTAGAATTCTAATAGTTTCACACCTAAGGTTCAAGTCTGTTACCCAGCATGAGTTAATTTTTGTGAGAGGTGAAAGGTGTGGGTCTTGTTTCAGTCTTCTACATGTGACTATCCAGTTTTCCCAGCACCATTTATTGAATAAGGATTCTTTTCCCCAGTGTATGTTTTTGTCTCTTGTCGAAGATTAGTTGGCTATATGAGGCTGTTTATATCTGGGTTCTTGTTCTGTTCACTGGTCAATTGCCCTGTTTCTTGTCCAGTAAGAAGCTGTTTAATGACTAAGCCTTGTAGTATAGTTTGAAGTCTGGTAAATTGATACCCTATTTTGTTTTTATTGCCTAGGATTGATTTTGCTATACGGTCTTCTCTGTCTATCGAAGTGTCAAATTATTTTTCTATATCTATGAAAAAGGATGATGGTATTTGATTGCGTTGACTATGTAGGTCACTTGTGGTAGTATAGACATTTAACAATGTTGATTCTGCCAACCATGAGCATGGGATATTCTTCCATCTGTTTACATCCTCTGCTATTTCCTTCTTCAGTGTTTCATAGTTCTCCCTGTAGAGGTCTTTTACCTCCTATTTAATAATTCCAAGGTACTTCATTTTCTTTGTTGCTATTTTGAAGGAAATGAGTCTTTGATTTGGTTCTCACTTTTACTGGTTGTTGGCGTATATGAATGCCTCTGATTTCTGCGTATTGATTTTGTATCCTGAGACTTTACAAATTGATTTATCAGATCAGGGAGTCTCTTGTTGCACCTTGGGGTTTTCTAGTTATATATCATGTCACAGCAAAGAGTTGAGAGTTTGATGTCTTCTGCTCCCATTTGGACGCCCTTAATTCCCTCTCTTGTCTGATTGTTGTAGCGAGGACTTCCAGCACTATGTTGAACAGAAGTGGAGATAGTGGCAACCTTGTCTTTCCAGTTCTAAGTGGGAATGCTTTCAATTTTTCCCCATTCAGTATGATATTGGTTGTGGGTTTTGTCATATATGGCTTATATCATTTTTAGGTAAGCCCCTTTATGCCTATTTTGTTGACCTTTTATCATAAAAGGTGTTGAATTTTTTCAAATGCTTTCTCTGCATCTATTAAGAGGATCATATGGTCTTTGTTTTTCTTCTGTTTATATAGTGAATTACATTTATAATTTGGCATATGTCGAACCATCCCTGCATCCCTGAGATGAAGCCCACTTGGTTGTGATGAATATTTTCTTGACAAGCACCTGGATTTGATTGGCTAGGATTTTATGAGAATTTTTTGCATCCTATATCATAAGGGAATTGTCTCGTAATTTTGTTTTTTTGTTGCATCCTTTCCTGGTTTTGGTATCAGGGTTATGTTGTCTTCATAAAATGTGTTGGGGCGGATTCCATCCTTCTCAATGTTGTGGAATAATTTTCTGCAGGAATAGCACGCAGTTCTTCTTTGTAGGTGTGGTAAAATGCGGGTGTGAAACCATCTGGTCCAGGACTTTTCTTTTTAGGAAGGTTTTTTATTGCTGTTTCAATTTCAGTACTTGATATTGGTCTGTTCAGGAATTCTATTTCTTCCTGGTTGAGCCTAGGTAGGTTGTGTGTTTCTAAGAAATTGTCCATTTCCTCCACATTTTCCAGTTTATGTGGCATAGAGGTTTGTAAATTTATAAATTATATCTTATATCTCCTGTGACATCAGTTGTAATTTCTCCTTTATTGTTCCTGATGGAGCTTATTAGAGATTTTCTTTTGCTTTTCATTAGTCTAGCCAATTGGTGTGTCAATTGTTTATTTTTTCAGAGAACCAACTTTTTGTTTTATTAATCTTCCATATAGTTTCCCTGTTGTCAATTTTGTTTAGTTCTGATTTGATCTTAATGATTTCACTTTTTCTGCTGGGATTGGGGTTGGTCTGTTCTTTTTCCAGCTCTTTGAGATGATTCATTAGGTTGTCTATTTGTGACCTTTTCAACTTTTGGATATAGGCATTTATGGAAATAAACTTTCCTCTCAGGACTGCTTTAGCTGTGTCCCACAGGTTTTTTGGTAACTTGTGTCCACCTTTGTCGTTTAGTTCAAAGAATCTTCTGATTTCCATCTTGACTTCCTTTGTTATGAAGTGATCATCAGGCAGAAGGTTTTAGTTTCCATGACTTTGTGTAAAATGAGGACTCCTGTTTAGGATTGATTCTAATTTATTCCATTGTGGTCTGAAAAGATACATGGTATAATTCTGTCTTTTAAATTGTTGAAATGTGCCTTGTGTCCTAGGATATGGTCAATCTTAGAGAAGACCCATGAGCTGATGAGAACAGAGTAATCAGTGGTTTGGGGGTATGCTCCTGTAAATGTCAGTCAGGCCTATTTGTCTAGAGTTCTGGTTAAGTCCATTATTTCTTTGCGATTTTCTGTTTGGAGGATCTGTCTGTGCTGTCAGTGGGTGTTAAAGTCTCCAACTATTATGGTGTTGTTGTTTATCCATTTGTTTGATCCAGTAGAGTTTGATTATGAATCTGGGTATACCAGGTGGGTGCATATATATTTAGAATTGTTATGTCTTCTTGTTGAACTGTACCTTCACCATTATATATGTGACCTTCTTTGTCTTATTACTTTTGTTGATTTAAAAACTAAGTTATCTGTAATCAGCACCACCACGCCAGCTTTCTTTTGGCTTCCATTTGCTTCAAATATTGTTCTCCACCCCTTTACCTTTATTCTAATTGCATCCTTGCAGGTTAGATGTATTTCCTGAAGGCAGCAGATACTTGGCTTGTGTTTTTTTATCCATTCAGCCAGCCTATGTCTCTCGAGTGGGGAGTTCAAGCCATTCACATTATTGAGATACTGATAGGTGGGGCAGATTTCTTTCATTATGTTGGGTTGAACTTTTGCATTGTTTTCTCTCTTGAGCCATTGTAGTGTCTGGGCTTTGATCTTTAGCTTTGAGTAGATTTACATTCATGAGTGTTTATTGTGCTGATCCAGGGTAAACTGTTTTGAGTACTTCTTGAAGGCTGGTCTTGTTTTGGTAATTCCCTCAGTCTTTGCTTATCTGAGAATGTCTTGATTCTCCTTCATATACAAAACTTAGTTTTGCAGGGAATAAGGAATAGGCTGGGCATTGTTTTGTTTCAGAAGAGTGAAGAATGGCCCCCAGTCCTCTCCTTGCTTGTAAAGTCTCATTAAGAGAAGTCTGGTGTTATTCGAATTGGCTTTCCTTTAATGTTACTTGCTTCTTTCATCACAGCGCTTAGAAGGGCCTCATTAGTTGGTATTTGGTCAGTCTGATGACTGCATGTTGTGATGTCTTCCTGTTTGCATTGAATCTCCCAGGGGTCCTCTAAGCTTCTTGAACTTGTATATTGAGATTTTGAGCAAGGCGGGAAATTCCTCTAATATCTTCAAATAGCTTGTCTTCTTCCCTTCTGGTAACCTATGACCCTCACATTAGGTTTCTTCACATAATCCCACACTCTCTGTAGGCTTTGCTCTTTTTCTTATTCTCTTTCTTCATCTGTGACATTTATCTAATTGGAAGGTGTTATCTTCAATCTCTGAGATCTTTCTTCTGTTTGATCTACCCTGTTCTTGAGGCTTTCACTGTATTTTGTAGTTCCCTGAATTGATTCTTCATTTCTAGGAGTTTGGTTTAAACTTTTCTCATTGTATCAATTCTTTAGTGAATTTTTGTTCCAGGTCCTGGAGGTTTTTGTGGTTTCTTGTGTTGTGTTATGATGTCTGCAGGTCATTGAATTTCTTATGATCCACAATTCAAATCTCTCTGTCATTTTGGTTGCCTGGAGTTTGGTTGGTGTCCATTTCTAAGGGGCTGGTGCCTCCTCTTTGGGGTTGTGGTTTCGTTTGGTTCTTCATATTTCTGGAGTTCTTCGCTGATTTCTTCTTATGTCATCAGTTGTTGCTTCTTCCTTTAGGTTTTGTTTGGGTATTGACATACCCTGTTTTAGTC